TTCCTCAACAGTGGGGGTTAAATAAATGAAAAATCTTTTTTTTTTCTTCAGTTGGTTCTTGATTTATGATAAATTAGCTCATTTCTATTTAATTTGTTGACAGATTTTACAAAGCGAAATTTCTTGGTTTCAGCATGATTCGCTTAATTAATTACAAATGAGCCGTAATTACGATAATGTGAATATGCTTTTACGAGCATTGGAAAATTTTAGGGCAAACTGTGGTTTTAGAGAAAAACGGCTGACAATTTTTTTTCAAATCTCTCTAGTTTGTTCAAAAATCAAATTTCTTCAATTCGGTTTTATTGATCGTAGAAGTGCTTTTGAAGCTCTATATTTGCATACTCACCCTGCATGAATTGAAATAGAATCATCCATATGTATGTTGTTCCACCAAAAAAAAAAAACCTTTATTTTCTATCAAGAAGTATTTTTCCGACTTCCAGGGAGCTGTAGATGGCATAAGCTGTGTTCTCATTATTAGAGTCTATAAGCTTCGAAGCAGTTTTCGATCCTATCTAGGCCAAATTTTCCTGCAAATCACACGTGTCGCATCTAGAATCGCTCACCTCCTCCACTCACTATGCCATTAAGTTCGGAATTATTGCTACCAGGTGGAGTGCAATAACTTTTCACCTACTTCCGGGAAACCTCCTAAGAGAAATTTTATGCAAAACCTAAGTTTGAATACACAGCACCGTGCTGTCCGGTAAAAAATTTAGATTTGTGCAGAATAAAAGCGTGTCTCGGCTCCCATTGAGATGAGTCTTTTCAAAGCGTCATTTGAAGGTGATATTGGATGAAGATTGGTCGCTTCAATAAGGTCAGACCGCCGTACCTTCATATCGGATAACTGGTTTAATAACCGCTGTGTAAATCCAGCGGCAAATTCTTGGCTTCCTCCTTCCAGCTCAGTTTCTGATCTAGGATAATATCTCAGAATTAATTTTTGTTTTAGGCTTGTCTATCTCCGGTGGAGTGTTCGATTTTTAGGACGTGTCAAAAAGTCGTTGATGCGTTTATCGACATGTTAATCTATATTATTATCAATATTTTAATCGATATTATTATCAATACGTTTATTATTTATCGATGTTACTTTTGATTTTTTTTTTATATCTCTGTCTATATCCATATGTATTTACAGACACACATATTTACAGATATGTTACTTGAATAATATTTCGACGGTTTTTCTAGTTTTTAAGAGCCTTGGAGAGGTATTCTAACCTAGCACGTGGTTTAACTTCTAAGGTACAAAATAACTTACCGGAAAATCTCCTGGTCCTTTTAGTTCCAAAACCAAAACGTGATTAAAATTTTTTTTTACTTTGGAGGTCTTTGAAGAACTTTGTCAGCACTTGGAATATATTCGATATATTCCAGTTTGTCGATTAATAAACATTGATAGTTCGATGAATCTCAAAAACACTAAAATCCGATAACCCAACTTATTTCGATAACTGCACGTTTCGATGGCTCGATAAGTTTCGATAACTCAAAAATTTATACATCTTGATATAATCGATAATTCTATAAACTTTGGATGCCTCTATAAATTTCAATAGTTCGGTTAATTTTGGTAGCTCCATATTTTTGGAGAGCTATTGATAAATTTCGATAACTCGTTAAACTTTGGTAACTTGATAAAATCCGATAAGCAGTGATATCTCAATAAGCCTATATAACCTTGAAATTTCGGAAACTAGTTGTTTTTGATAATTGCAAAAACTTCGAATCGATAAATCAACAAATCTCCAATTACTCAATAAATTGAAAGAACTCGATGCATTATGATAACTAGATAAATTTTGTTAACTCTATAAATAATGATAATTCAATAAATATCAATAACTTGATAAATTTTGTTAACTTGACAAATTTCCACAATCTAATATGTACATTTTTTAGCTCGACAACTATGTTTCTATGTCTAGACATTTCTACAACTCAATAAACATTGATCAATATGAATAATTCGACACGTTCCATAACTCAATAAACATGGATAACTCGATACATTTCCATAACTATAAATTTCGATGGTTCGATAAATAACTTTCGATAAATAAATTTTGTATGACTTTTCTTACCCTTTCAGTTACCCTAATTCTTATGTATTTCTTATCCTTTTCATTTTCATCTTTATCTTCAACTTTGCCTTCACTTTTTTTGTCTTAATCGTTTTCATCATTTGTAAAGTTTAATTTCAAATATGAAGTAAAACAAAGTGCGAAAACAACTAAAACTTTACAGGTTGCAACAACAACTATACACAAATACAGAGATCTTTAAACGACGAGTTTGGACGTAATTATCCACCAATTTTGAAACCATAAAAACTCTCCTCATCTACAGAAAAATAACTTTCCAATGGTGGTGGTGGTGTGAAATCGGTTCGGTAGAACCGCCAAACGAAGGGGGATTTAGATTTAAGAAGTTAAGATCGCTATGTGATTTGGACTCACGTGCGTTACTCTATTTTCCATTCTATTTTCTGTCTTCATATAAAACTACCTAATGCGTGCGAATCGTGTAAACTTGCATTATAAAGTAAGTAAATAGAAAAAATACAAAAGCCGTAGGCTTATACCCAGAACCCATCTTTACGGTATAAAGCAATCACTTTCTATTTTGCACTATCAATGCAATCTACTTAACTGCTGAGGCTCAATAAATTCAGGTGTTAAGTACAAAAACAACTACGTATAACTGCAGCAGTAAAAGCTTCAGTGAAATCAGCGTCGACAATCCCTGCAGCCAGGGGCGCATACAGAATATTTTTATTTTTCAAAGTTAAAGTTTCAACTAAGTCACAGCTCTAGTATGGCCTTATAACAATAAGCATTACAATGATCGCTGGAATGAGCTTTATGAAATTTACAAACTATCAAAAGGAAAGTGATGAAGAGCAGGGTACAGAACTTGCAACTTGATAGTAACTAGATAGCCACAAGAACTCAATCGCTTCGAAAAAATGTATGCAAAATATTTTATTAGATGCCTACGTCACTTAAAGTTTTTAATTTAATTTTACGCTATGCGTTTTAAAAATTGTCGGGGAGTTTCAACCCTAAAGCCAAACTTCCTCCCCCTTGTATGCGCCCATAACTGCAGCTAAAAGGACAACTGCAATGACCTGCAAATGCAACCGGCATTAGGTCATTTGTCTAAGAGTATTTGTAGAAATTCATGTGCATGAATACACAACAGATATGTACAACGGTAAATGTGTTTAACAAATCAAGATATGGATGTATTTTGCTTAACTGCATTTCACTGGGTCAAAGTGGCATATGCTTTTACTGGTATCAATATGTTTTTTCACATATACATACGTACGCTCACCTTCAACCTTCTCCGCTACCAGCAGAGACCTACGAGGCCGGGCGTTGGCTGCAGACATATTTACTACTGCATACAGCTACATATATGCAGCTGACTTTATTTTCATGCATAATTCAAGAAAGTGCTGCAGCTTTCACTTAACGAAATGCCATTGCAATCATTACAAGCAAAACAATAACAATCAATGCGTTGCGTTTGTAAAATGTACTAGGATGTTATGCATATGTACTAGGGATGTTAATCCCGGGATCCCGGCCTTTGTTAGGTGCCGAAAATCCCGGGATTTTCGGGATTTGTAATTTGCGCTGATGGCAATAATAGAAACTCCCTTTCTTGACCAGTATTGGCTATATTTATTTTTCTTTATTTAGTAATTAATATTTTTTTATAAATGTTTAATACATTATACATACAACAACCTGCGATTGTCAATTTTACACAAAAAAATCAATATATTCGCGAAACCATGGGCCAAATATAGTAAAATTGCGTTTTTAGTTTAGTTTTAGTAGTTAGTCAGTAATTCAAAAATTATTTAAAAAATTCAGTGAAATGTGCTTAGAGAATAAGTATGGATATCAAATTAAAGAGGAAATACTTTAGAATTTAAACTGATTTAAGCTTTTGGTGCAGAAGGACTGGTAAGTATTGAAAATGTCCTTTTAAAATTTATCCTTGAAATTTCGCAATATTTGTTTTTGAAAAAATTATATGTTAAGAACTTATATAAACTCAATAACATCCTCAAATCTCACCCTTCTAACTTTATCAGCTTAAAAAATTACCTATTCTTCCTTGTGAATCCAAAAAAATTTAGTTTTCTTAAATTATAAAGAAATTTCCTCTTTCATTTGGTACCCATTTTTTTATTCTACATTGCATTGACTTTTTGAAATGATTTTTGGAATTAATCATATCTTTGAAATTACAAAGTCCTTTAAAATAAATCCTGACGTCAGAGAAAAAAAAAAATAAAAACGCCACTTTAAATAAAAAAGTAGGTTTCAAACACATTAATTTATTATTTATTTTATGGTAGGAGAGATAGAAGCAATTTTTTCGATTTAAGTTGTTGAAAAGTAATGAATATCTAAATCCCGGGATCGTAAAAACCGAAAAAATTAACATCCCTATATGTACACATTTATTTCCAGGAAACATTGATTACAACGATTTTATTGGAATCTCTGTGGCAATGCGTATGAAGCAAGCAATAAAAATGAAATAATAATTAAAAATACTTGCATGAATTAACTCTCTGCAAATTCCAAAACATCAATTAGTTCAACACAAAAATTGCTTAAAAACTGCGTTGGCATGGTTCTCTTCTTACTTACAGAGTGATTCATCGTAAAGATCGTTGCTGTTCTGATTTCTTAGTTTCAATTACGAAAATAGTAGCGTGTCGTAAAATTTCTTAAACGTTCAATGCTATTTAGCAGCCATATCTTCCTACATTTATTATATTGCAGCAGTCAAGCATGCAACATTTGCAACTTATTTGTATCGAATTGTTATAACTTTCGCTGTGTATCGGGTGTGTGTGTGTGTGTGTTAGTGCGCTTGCCATGTTTGAGTTATTGTTTAATTTCTGCTATGCATCCTGTTTGCACTGAAGTTGGTATTCAATTTAATTTCTTGCCATTCTTCTTTCACAAATTGCAGCACCGTCACCAGCGACAGAGACCCCAGCTGATACAGCGCAACGTTGTAATACGGACGAGTGTCAATTGCCATATTGCTTCTGCTCGAAGGATGGCACACAAATTCCAGGTGGTCTAGAGGCGGAAAAGGTAAGTGAAATAAATAAAAGTAGACAAGATATAGCAGAGATATGCAACTAAAAAATATGTGCTGACTAAATATATTAAGAGAGATGTATGTATGTAGATGTCGGATAATGCCAACTGTGCAGCATATTCATATTAACAACTTGACAGCGTTTACGCCAACAGGTGAAATATGGCAGCTTGAAAAATAGAAAAAGAGAAAAGGGTTGAACGTCCTCAAAATTTTATTTCCTGTCCTGAACCAAACGATTCAATTTGATTTTATTTTTCGTTTCGAGCTTTTGTAGTGAGTTCAACATATTGTCCATAAGGGATGTTTATAGAAAGCGCTGATATTCAAAATAGTCTGAAGGAAATCTAAAAGTCAAAAGATTGCTTTTTTACTTCCGGCTTTCAAAATTGATTTGGTTTCCTTTCATTTAGTTTATGAATATTATGCAATTCAGTAAAGTAATGTCCGCTCGAAAATGCACAAAAACAAATTTAAGCCATATTTGTATCAAGGTGAAATTAAAAGCATGCGCTCAGCTTTCAAAAGTAATAAAAAATTAAATAAAAAATGTTATTAAAAACAAATTAATTGTTTTTGATACTCTTTTTATAATGTTATGGCCTTTGTGAATTAAGGTAACGATATGTAAGTCGTTATGCAATTAAATTTCTCACGCCCTACACCGTGACCTTCAGTTTATCCCACCGTGTAATCATGAACTGAAATTATGTTTTAAAGACTTTTCAAAACAGAAATTGGGAGCAGATATTCTTAAACTCTTACTCATTCGAACGAATATTATATTTCTTTACACTGTTCGGCAGTTGGCTGGGGAATTGAGGAAACCAAGTTTTTCTTAAAGTTTGTAGTGTATATAGAAAAGTAACTTCTAGGCTTTCCCAGGTTGGCGATTTTAAGCGTTTACATATTTTAAATTTGAAGTTGGTGGTCGTATAAAGCATTTAAACAATTAAACGTGATTAAAGAGCAAATATTTTTACCGTCAAAAGAAAAAAGTTAAAATGTCGTACAGTGTTATTTTTTATACTAGCGCCCAGCGGTTGAACCGCTAAAATTAAGGAGAGTTCGGTGAAGTGAATTGAAGCGAAGTGGGTTCAGGTGAGAGGAGATTTGACAAGTTAAGGTGAATTGAGCTGCGGTGAAGTGATTTGAAATGAGCTCTGATGAGTTGAGGTGAATTGCGTTGAACAATATAACATAACAAAACATAACAAAGCATATTATGCTATGCATAATATAACACATAACATAACATCACATAACGTAACATAACATATCATACTATAGCAAAACAAAGCATAATATAACAAAACGCACATAATATAACATAACATTACGTAGCATAACACTACATAACATAACATAATAAAACACAACATTACATAACATATCTTAACATAACATAACAAAGCATACAAAATATGACATAACATAACATTATACAACATATCGTAACATAACATAACATAACATAGCATAACACAACATATCGTAATATAACATAACATACCATAACACAACATACCGTAACATAACATAACATAACATAGCATAACACAACATATCGTAACATAACATAACACAACATAATCTTTATCTTCATCTGTATATTCATCCATACAATTTTCATTATATTCTTCTTCAAATTTACCTTCCTCTTTGTCTTTACATTTAGGTTTCTTTGCTTTTATTTTAATCTTTGCCTTTATCCATATCTTCATCTACATATGCAACCTTACCATCGTCCTTGCATTACTCTTAATTTAAATCTTTTGCTTACGCAGCTAAGCACTTTTCATTAACTCAGTACCAATATTAAAGCATACATTTAGGAGGCATTTGCACCCCAACCATGTACTTGCACGGTATTCATATTGGTGTTACTTTTGAATTGATTCTTGCGCTTTATTTTTAACTAATTTCAATTGCTCTCTGCACATCAGCATCAAAATACCTTTCTAGTGATACATACAGTATTGGCCAATACAATAGCACCCCGATTTCAAAGTCATATTGTTTGCCACTCATGTTTATTTATTTATTTTTAAGAATTTTCAATTAAAATACAGTTCATTCTCTCACAAAACTCACATAAACTCAAGTTTAAAACTTTTTAAAAGACCGCAAAAAAGTGCAACAAATTTTCACCCAAATTTCAAACTTTTTTCTCAGAAGCGGTAGAATTTTTTTGAATACACAGTTTTATAGCCCATTCAATTTTAGTCTAATAATGTGCAAGTTTCAAGTGGCTAAAAACTACCGTTGATTTTTTAGAATTTTTTTCGCCGAGGATGTTGCGGGTTTCTGCCATATAAAAATAAATTGTGTTTAGTCGTTATATGGAAGCAAATGAGACAAAAAAAAATTCTAAAAAATCAACGGTAATCTTTAGCGACTTGAAACTTGCACATTATTGACTAAAATTGAATGCGCTATAAAACTGTGTACTCAAAAAAATTCTAGAGCTTCTGATAAAAAAGTTTGAAATTTAAGGGAAAGTTTGTTGCGCTTTTTTGCGGTCTTTTAAAAAGTATAAAACATGGGTTTATATGGGTTATGTTAGAGAATGATCTGTATTTTAATTGAAAATTCTTAAAAACAAATAACTAAACATAAGTGGCAAACAATATCGCTTTGAAAGGGGGGGCTATAGATATGTCCAATACTGTATATAATACATATACACAAGATATATATACAAGATATGACATCTAACTTTATCAACACTCCCTTACATTTGCATGTTGTGTTCTTCCCTATTTTTACTGAAGCCTGATCCAAGTGTGTTTTGTTGAAAATGTTTTAAAATCTGATTTTAAATCATACTTTGCTTTTTGTCAAAGCGTAATCTAACAAACGCCTGTAACTATGTATTTTGAACAAACACAAATATATGTACATATGTAAATATAAACCCATTTAAACCCTCAAATTTTCCTTCGTTGAAGCTACAAGCTTTACTTTCATCAAAATTATGGTGAACACTTTTAAAAATCAATCTTGGTTTTCACCCTTAGCAATTATGAAACCGAAGCAATTAAATTTATTGCCCCATGTACTTTATCTATCCCAGCGATTAAGTAGTTATGTATCTTTATTGCTTTTAATATATTACTTAATTATTCTTGACAAAAACCTATAATCATAACTCAATTATACCTAGGCACATGCTTACATGTATGAACGTAAATATGTATGTATGTATGTATGTATGCACTGTGTGGAAGTTGTAAAGATAAATAGCCGGCAGCATAGATTTTCAAAGATACTGACGGATATGTTCGATGTAGGTATAACCTTAATCGCTTATTTGCGGATAATTGAGTTATAATTAATTAGCTGCATCTAAAGGCAGCCACCACATGAACAACTTTGCTTCGGTTAATATATCAACACAACAACAACAAAACCCCTATGTACATATGTATGTAAGCAACGCAATATAGTTGCGACCTACACGGCGTATGAGTAATGTTCTCATAACTTCACGACGACTGAATGTTATTTGCGTGTGTGTGGGTGGCTAAACGATGACAGATGTTTGTGCTAATACATGCTACCCACCATATAATTTGTTATGTATGTACATATATATGAATATATGTGTGTGTGTGCGTGAGCCTCATCTTGGCATAATTATTGCTACCGCGCTGTATACTCGTAAGTACGTAAGGAAATATGAGCATCGTTTGTCGGAAGTTGTAGGCTGTCGTTTAATTTGCGGCATACAGCAGTTCAGCAGTTCAGGTTTACAAATGCAACTACTTGATGCATTACGCTACGCTACACTTAATTACTTTTGGCTGAAATTTGCGCAAAATAATCGCTACTTCGTGCGAGAGGTTTCGTGTACTTATGAAAATTAAGATTCGCCTACAACATTGCGTATTTGGGTACTCAAATGGTTTATACTTTCGACAGTTTTATAAAATATGCAAAGGTTATTTAATATACGCATGTACTGCGTTCAATCATAATGAGTATTCTGAGCGTTATTTGCTTTAATAAAGAGCACTCATATTAATTTTTCTTTAATATCTATGTATAGTGTACAGACATCGGCCTGTTACAATTTTATTATCTTATATATAAATAGGCAATCATGATTCCTTTACATTCCTTTTACGGCTAAACTATACTTCTAAGGTATAAACAGATATACATCCTCAGAAATGTATTTTGATGCTGATGTGTATTATGTTGTGTTGTTTGGTATTGTGTTGTATTGGATTGGTTATTTTGTGTTATGTTATGTTATGTTATGTTAAGTTGTTTTATGCTATGTTAAGTTATGTTATGTTGTGTTATGTTATGATGTTGTGCTACTTTACTACTTGCTATGTTATATTCTGTTATGTTATGTAATGTTATGTTATGTTATGATGTTATGTTATGTTATGTTGTATTATGGTATGTATGTTATGCTGTTATGATGTTATGTTATGTTGGGTTGTGTTATGTTTTGTTGTGTTGTGTTATATTATGTTAATTTATGTTATGTTATGTTATATTCCGTTATGTGGTTCAACGCATTTCATCTCAATTCATTTCAATACTCAACTGAACTCAACTCGGCTCAGCTCAGCCCACCTCAACTGCCTTTAATTTAAGATATGGGCGAACACTAGTATGTATAGATTTGCATTGCCATTCGAGCGACGTATATCTTAAAGTTCAGTTTAACAATACGAAGTAGTATGTATAGCAAATGAAAGGTAAAAAATTCCCCCAAATTGCGGTATACATAATGTGACCAACTATTTCATAGCTAAAAGAAGTATACGTTAGGTTGGATTAAGTTAACGCCGCGAGCCGACTGCAAAATTTCGACCCCTGAGAGCTCAGTGTTCTTTCAGAAGTGCGAGGATCAGTTGAAATTCCTAGTCTCACCGCATCAATACCAATCGCAGAATGGCCTGCCAGAACCCCCACCACTAACCCTTGAGAGGTAACGTGTTTTAAAGTGGCCTGTGAAAACATTTGCTGCAGA